TGCCATACTTGATTCTATTTGTTCTCTAACAGTGAAAAAATAACTTCCAAAAAATCAAGCTAGACTAGCACAACTAGATGGTGCCCGGCTCCCACCACTGACTGCTCTGAACGGGATCACTACAGCGGGTCCTGGACAGAGCTGGAGGAAAATGCAGAACACAGTTCTAACTCACAAAAAAAGACCAGACTTACTAGTCTGACAGAGACTGGAGAAACCCCGAGAGTATGGCCCCCAGACACCCTTTTAGCTCAGTAATGAAGTCACTCCAGAGGTTCACCGTTCAGCCAAAGATTAGACAGCCCCCTAAAATAAAACGAGACTAATAGGGCACAACAGTCCAGGGACAAGGACTAGAAGGCAGGAGGGGACAGGAAAGCTGGTAATAGGGAACCCAAGGTCGAGAAGGGTCAGTGTTGACACATCGTGGGGTTGGTAACCAATGTCACAAAACAATATGTGTACTAATTATTTAATGAGAAGCTAGTTTGTTCTGTAAACATTCATCTAAAGTACAGTAAAAAAAAATAATTGAAAATTGGAAGGAAATAGTTATTAGAAAAATTACACAGTTGATTGAAAGTAAAGTTGTTTGTAAAATGTCTCAGTTTATAATATTTGGTACAGAATAATAGATAATACTTATGATAACTCACTATGTGTCCCACAAGATTCTAAGTACTTTCCATGACTTAATTAGTCTTCATAACAGTCCTCTGAGGCAAGTACTATTATTATCCCCATTTTAAAGATGAGAAAACCCAAGCACAGAGAGGTTAAGAGCTGAAAGTCACACAGCTAGTATGTAGTGGAGCCTGTAAAGAATCAACATGGGTATCTTGTCTCCAGTGCCAATGATCTTAGCCATTCTTGAATGCTGCCTCTCTGTTTCAACAATAAAATGTACAAAGAACTACTTTTTTTTTTTTCGTGAGCCAATAAATAAAAACTGAAATCAGGAAAAAAAAAATCAAGCTAGAAAATAAACCACGAGCCTTCCAATTACATTATTCATATAGACCATATCATTACCAAGTCTATCCGTGCTTCCCCCATCAATTTAACCATGTCAAGCCCATGGCAGCCACTGCCATCTTTCTAGATGCAAATTTAATCCTGTCACTGCCTCTCTTTCAATGACCTGATGGCTCCCTGTTGTCCCCACAAGAAATTCCAAACTTCTTAATCTGATTTATAAAGTCCTTCCCACCTGGCCTTGTTTATTAATTTCCAGCTTCACCTCTTGCTAGTTCCTGCTTTGCCCTTTATGCTCCACCCATACTGAACTCGGAGCCCTGGTGGCACAGTGGTTAAGGAGCTACGGCTGCTAATTAAAAGGTCAGCAGTCCGAATCCACTGGCTGCTCCTTGGAAATCCTATGTAGCAGTTATTCTCTGTCCTTTAGGGTCATTATATGAGTTGGAATCGACCTGATGGTAGTGGGTTTGGTTTTTGGTTTTATATTGAACTACTTTTCATTCAGCAAACTTTCTTCTGCCCTTAGGCCATTGCACGTTTTCCTCTTCTGGAACTTTCTCCATCCCCATGTCCTCATCCCTTCATTCCCTCTGACTCCTACTCACTGTTCTGGACTCAGCTTCCCTAACATAGCCTCTTGCCTACCCCCACCTGACTGGCCTGGGGACCTTCCCATATGCTTACACCTACCCCATTACCCATTAGCTAGGCCATGTCTCCCTCTCCATCATTCCATGCAGGAAGATATGATGGTGTGCACAGTGCCTGGAGCATGGCAGGGGCTCAACAAATCCTGGTTAGATGAATGAGTCTGTGCCTTAAACAATCTGCTTCTGGGTTCAAGGAAACAGCCCTCCCACCAAACCTAAGATTGCTCTGACAGTGTCCTGTCTTGAATCTTACAACTGAAGGAGAGCGGAAGTTGGCTGGGGATAGTGTGGAATTTTCAGTAGAATATTGGCTGTTTCACGTGGCTGGGGCTGTTCTCAGTCTTGGAGGCCTCACACCAAAGCAGGGCCAGGGAGTGGCTCCAGGGCATCTCCCCTCTTCCAGCAACAGCTCTGGTAGGCAGGCCTGCCTGGGAGAGAAGTACATTGGCAACAGCTGGTGGGATATTTGTTTATTTGCTGTTCCTACATCCAGGACCTATTTCTGGAGCAGGTATTGGATGCAAGCCCATGCCATTCCAACACTGGTCTTGCCAAGCCCTGGGGTTATGAGTACGAGTGCTGGTGGAGAACAGTGGAAGTCACTTAGCTTATCTCCCCAGCTCCAGCCTGACCTCGGGGTATGTCATCACTGCTTTGCCCCTGCTGGTTCTAAGGCTCAGCACTAAATACTGCTCCATTTGCTTTAACTTTCTGTCTGTTTCACTAGGGACTTGAGGAAGGAAGAACATTGGGGGTGATTAAAAAGGCTTTCTCAACTCATAAATTCTACTGATTTTAGGAAGTCCCAACTGGAGTTCCTTAGCATTTCTAGGATCAAAGGAAACAGATCAGAATTTTGAGCCCATAGTGTCTTTCCTATGGTTAGTCCAATTACTGAAAGGCAACCGGAACACAAAGAGGTCATTTGACTTATTTATAATCACATGGTAAGCCACAAGACAGATAAAGAGAGCAGCCAAGGCTCTTGGTTTCAAATTTAGTGCCACTTCAATAGTATAAGTTAAATCTGTATTAATAAGTTAGTTCCATGAGCTATGATTAAGTTTGTTTTTGGTAAATGGAGTTTCACCTTTTTTAGAGCCACCCCTTAAGCTGTCACCTCTGAACCAATTAAACCATAGTCACCACTCGCTGGTCCCTTCTGTGGGGGCCTGTCTCCTGAGGAGTGAAGTGAGAAGATGGCTGGAGGCCAGGGCTGTCCTCTCACACCTCACGCAGGCTTCCATGTGATGCTAAATCCTCTCGGTCCTACAGCTCCTTTTAAGTTCCTCCAAAGAAACTCCTCACCTTTTCAGACTAAATTTTCTTTTTCTGAAGTAGAAACTGGGAAGAAGGAAAGGCAAGACTAGAATCTTACCTCAACTACAGAAAGACTATTTTCTGGTACAGAAACATTCTCTTACCACCCAATGGCCAGCTGCTCTTTGGGAGAGTTTTGGGACCGCATCGCTTTTCTCCTTAAATTGTTGTTACTGAGAGAGAATGATTTTTTTTTGTTTGTTTATCATGTAAGGATAAGAAAGTCTTTTTTTTGTTTGTTTTGTTTTGTTTTTTAAAGAAACCTATCCACCCAGCTGAAAGCCATCAGCTGGCTCTGTAGGAAGGATGAGATCTGGCATGTGAACCCCAGGCAGGGACGGCAGCTGGCAAGCTGAGTCCAAGGCCAGATGATCACGTGTTCTAGCTTCCTTGAAGTGCCCAGGGGCCACGGAGGGCCACCCTCTGCCACAGGTAGCTGTTGCTGTGTGCTGTCTGATCCTGTAGGACAGAGTATCCTACTAATAAAAATCAGTAGGAATAAAGCTAACACCATTAGCCAATGAAAAAGGATGAAAGTATATCAGGAAAATACAAGAAAAATCTTTGCATCATTGAGTATACTGAATCACCTGGTTGGTTCCCATCCTTGTGGACACAGCAAATGCTTGATTTAGAAATGAGCGAATTTTCTCTGATGATTTTTATAGGCAATCTGTTCATCATTAGGGATTCAGAACCTGTCTTAGGCTGGGTTTTCTAGAGAAACAAAATCAATGAAGTATATATATAATGAGAGAGAAAGAGAGAGAGAGTTATATCAAGGAAATGGCTCACACGGTTGTAGAGGCTGGAAAGTCCCAAGTTCGTGGGTCATGCTAGAGGCTTCTCCTGACTCATGTAGCTGACGGGGCTGGCAAACCCAAGATCGGCAGGTCAGACAGCAGGCCTCTGGCTCACAGACTGCAGAGGCCTACGAATCCCAAGATTAGCAGGTGAGACAGCGGGCTGCTGGCTCACAGGCTGTGGAGGCTGACTGTCTTACTCATCAACTGCTGCTGTGACAGAAATACCACAAGTGGATGGCTTTAACAAACAGAAGTTTATTCTCTCACAGTCAAGTAGGCTAGAAGTCCAAACTCAGGGCGCCAGCTCCAGGGGAAGGTTTTCTCTGTCTGCTCTAGAAGAAGGTCCTTGTCATCAATCTTCCCCTGTTCTAGGAGTTTCTCCACGCAGGAACCCTGGGTCCTAAGGACACACTCTACTCTCGGTACTTCTTTCTTGGTGGTATGAGGTCTTTCCTTCTCTGCTAGCTTCCCTTTCATCACTTGTAAGATAAAAGGTGGTACAGGCCACACCCCAGGGAAACTCCCTTTACATTGGATCCGGGATGTGACCTTAGTAAAGGTGTTACAATCCTACCCTAATCCTCTTTTATGTAAAATTACAATCACAAAATGGAGGACAACCACACAATACTGGGAGTCATGGCCTAATCAAGTTGACACATATTTTTGGGGGACACAATTCAATCCATGGCACTGACAAATCCCAAGATGGGCAGGTAAGCTGCTAGCTCAAGTCCTGAGAACCGGAGGTCAGATGAGGAGCCAGCTGCAGGATCCAGAGTGAGCCAAAGCCTGTGAACTTTGCTAGAAAGTCCATATATACTGGATGCAGACCACACCTCCAAGGAAATCCCCTTTCAACTGACTGACTGCTCATAGCAGATTTCATCATGGAGGTGATTATGTTGTATCAGATCTCATTATGGAGGTGAGTACATCATTACACAGCTGCCAAATTACATCAAAACTGCCGAACCACTGAGAATCATGGCCCAGCCAAGTGGACACACAACCTTAACCATCACAGAACCCATTTCCTAGGAAGATCCTCCATGGAGCCACAGTCTCAGAGTCCTACGCTCAGGGCACCAAGGTTTCAATTTCCAGAGAGCACATTCTAGAAAGATGAGGTTGGCAAAGGTCACCAGCTCCCTTACGGGGGGCATGAGTTTGTCTATACCTTCCCATTGCCTGGGAGTGTCTCTCTGGGAGGAATCAGGTCAACAGCACCACCGACACAGAGCTATTCTGATGATAAAAGCTTTATATGGACATATACTGAATAAGAACATGATAAACAAAGAGGGAAGCTGAGGCTCAGCCAGGAAAGCTGTCACCAGGAACAAACTTGGAACTATTCAGGAGTGGTGTCAAACATTAACACCATATTTACAATTCTAATTTAGAACCTGGCCCTTTTTAAGTGCAGGAGAAGGCTGGAGGAGAAACCATGCATGAAATAAAAAAAAAGGCATATACACACTTACATAACTCCCACATTTACACACGTCTTTTGCCCACTGTCCCCATAAGGAACAATCAAACAAAGGAAAAGCCCAGTCACTGTATTTACTATGGACCTGTTATAGAAGCCCCAGGCAGGCTTGGAATCAAGGAGGCAGACTTCATTCTCCTTGGCCCCACTCACCCCAAACGATTTACTGAGGGAATGCTTGGGACACAGGCAGGGAACCCCCAGAAGAGGCAAGAGAATATACGGCTCACTGAGACATTATACACAAGGGCACTGGTTTCTCCAAGTACTTTCACACTTGATTCTTCACTAGGTTCTTAGCAGACCTCCAACGTGCAGCATCAGCGCTCAGCCAAGCCACGAGGCATAGAGGAAAGCTGTACCTCGATCCTGCGCGCACGGGGTCAGGGGCTTCATCCCATACAGTCACGCTCTCCTGCGCCAGCCCCGAGCATGTCCTCAAGGCCTGCGGCTGTTTGCTCTGTGGACAGCAGTTTGGGCTTTTTCCCTCCGCAGGTTCTCCACCGTTCCCTGTGGGCCCGAGACAGCTGCTCCGCGTGTGCGTGTAATTTACTGCTCCGCTGCTGCTGGCTCCTCCCCGGCCTCCGGCTTCTCAACCTGTGATTCGGGAGGAATCAGATACTGGACCTCCTCTGTGCTGATGGCAACTTTATCTGGCTGCAGCCACCTCTTGAAATGTTCCAAGGTGCTACAAAAGAGCAGGAGAAAAAGGGTGGCTGCATCAGACCGCGCCGATTCATCACCTAATGATGATCTCAGTTACTCAAATACTGCCTCCCCACCCACCACCGATCTCTTCCTACAGTTGTTTTTCTCTGCGAACGCGGGGCGAACAGCGATACTCCTCTGACAGCTGCGCTGCCTGGCGGCTCCGTGGCATAATTTACCCCCCAGTGGGCCCTTGGGCTGTTAAGCAGCACCAGGCTCCCTTCAGACACAGAGCCTCGGAAGCCCTGATGAGAAGAGCGGGAGAGCTCATGCCTCAGTCCTGTCTTTTTTCCCCTCAAAACTGGAGAGGGGAGAAATTGTCAAGGGTAGGAAACACTCAAATAAATATCAAATTATTAGTGAGGCAGAAACTTGAACATCTTTAAATCTCTTATACCTGAGGCAGTCTGGGGCTCAATTATACTTCCAGCACTCATTTGCACTGTGTGATTTTTTTTTGGTATGCTTTTCTGTGGGGTTTCTAGGTGTTTGCTTGTTCATCCTATAGCCAGTCTCCGAGATAGAAACATCTGAGCAGCGAGTGTTCCCCAAAAAGGAATGGCTCCCTTTGTCTGGATCTGTGGGGAGGGGGCAAGTATGAGTGTCAGGCTCAGTGATCCCCCTCCCACTTTCCTGAAGTACCCAGGATCCTCCACTCTAAAGCGATTAGACAGTCACAGCAAAATATAAATGACTAGAAATAATGTATGTCTCACTCTATGCTTGTCAATAGCACAAAGTCTTAAATCAAGACATAAAGCCATAACCAAAAGACTTTCAGACACCCATCACTGCTTGGGGGATTGTGGGTTGAGAGCTGGATTTCTCAGTCCATCACTTCTTGCCAAAAGCATACCATGAGGAAGGTCACCAACCTAGCCTTCATATACACGAAGACCCACACAATTTCAATGCAAAATGGCCTTTCTTAAAACATAAATTTTGAAGTTTGAAAACAAATGCAGATATATTGTTTCCTGATGCTTGCCCTGAACAACGATAAAAAGAAGCATTTCCACAGACGTAGGCTAGAGAGAACAAATCCAAACGCAGAGGGCAGCGAGCAGCTGAGGGACTCTAATGCCCACAGCTCGGGGGAATTGGGCGGGACAAGGGCATTTAACCTTCATCTACCACACTTTTCACAGAATGGTTAACATTAACTCTATAGAAAAGGTGTCACAATGTGTTGATAAACACATGGAAACATTAACCTGACTCTTGATCTGCTTTCAGAAAAGGAGAATTCCTGTCAGGAAAGCTGGTAATAGGGAATCCAAGGTCGAGAAGGGAGAGTGTTGACATGTCGTGGGGTTGTTAACCCATGTCGTAAAACAATACATGTACTAACTGTTTAATGAGAAACTATTTGTTCTGTAAACCTTCATCTAAAGTACAATAAAAAGAATTTTTTTAAAAAGAATTCCTACTTGAGAATTATGCAGGAGAAACTTTTATCTTTTCTTCTCAAAACGAGAGAGGAGGGAAATATTCAAGGGGAGAGAGACCGTAAGTAAATACTAAATTATTAGTGGGTCAGGAATCTGTGCAGCTTCAAATCTCCCGTGCCTGGGGCAGTCTGAGGCTCCATGAGGTTGAGCGTTTACGGATAGAGAAGAACAATATTTCTATGCTCTGAACTCTCAGAGGGCAGCTACCTTGCCTGCGAACCTACACTGCCTTCTGGAGGATCTGGGGCACGTTGATTCAGTATTTGAGATAATGTAAGTGAAAGTACATTGAAAAGTAAAATGTAACTATGAAGCTTTGTTCACATACTGTCCATGACTTCTGCGCAGCATATTCACGAGACACCGTGGGACTGGCAAAATCAGTGTTCACACAGAGAAACCTGTGAGAGGCGGAACTCCACGGGACCGTCTTGTTTTTCCAGGTCTCACCAGTTTTCCGCCTTTGACAGGTTGTAGTCACGACTTTTCTATCACCCACTATTTAGCAGAAAATATTTCACTTTTCCTGCTCCGACAGGTTTCTGCCTTCCACAGGTTCTGGCTTCTGCAGGTTTTACTATGTTTCAAACTTAGGCTAAGTCATATTACCCCAAGACCTTCTGTTAAAATTCAGGTTTTTACTCCCCCCATGCCAACTTCTTATTGTGAATAATTTCTTACCAACCTTTCAAACTCTGTTAAGAATAACGTTAATAATAGCTAACACTTATACAGTGCTTACCACATGCCAGGAACTGTTCTAACACATCACGCACAATAATTCATTTAACCCTCACATTTTATATGAAGCAAGAGCTGTTGCCCTCACTTGACAGAGAAGGAAACTGAGGCACAGAGAGGGTACTTCTCCAAGAACATACGAGGAGTAAGTGGTACGGCCACTTCCCTGAGCATGGCGCACCCTCCTGCTCTTTGTAGCAGAATGTCCCCCCACTTTCCGGCACCCTACCCCCTGCAGGTACTGTTCCAGGCTGCCTCCTTCCCTGGAAGAAACACCGCAGCCCACGGGGAGCTCAACGGCCTCTCAACGTCCAAAGCACTTTCTGTCACTTCCACCTATCTGGTTCTTCTCTCACGCTGCCATTACTGTTAAATATATCCAGGTACATGCATACTTCCTCTCTCCCCAAGCAGGTCTGAGGGGGAAAAAAAAACTGAGTCTAAAACCTCCTGACAGCCTCCTCTCCCCCATGGCATCAAGCACAGTGGCATTACACAGTGTATGCTTAATAAAGTCATTAATTTATTCCATACATATTCACTGGGGGCCCTGGTGGTGCAGTGGTTAAGCACGTGGCTGCTAACCAAAAGGTTGGTGGTTCAAACCCACCAGCCGCCCTGCAGGAGAAAAATGTGGCAGTCTTATTCCTTAAAGATTTACGCCTTGTAAACCTTATGGGGCAGTTCTACTCTGTCCTACAGGGGTCACTATGAGTTGGAATCAACTCGATGGCAGTGGGTTTGGGTTGGTGAAACATATCTACTGAGTGGTTACAATATGATAGAAGCTCTGTTAAGCAATGGAGATTCAGAGGTAAGAAGACAGAGTTCCAGCTGTTGACTGATTTCTACTTTCTCAAGTGAATTATGTACTTAAAAATGAAGACGCTGGTTCACCCTCAACTCTGTTCACTCTACGACCAAGATGTAGCCCAGGATATTAGCATTTTGGCAAAAATACCTTTTCTCAAAAATCTGCTGCTGAGCTGAAAGCAAACAGAGAACAACCTCACAAAGGTTGATTTCTGAGTTTTAGAGAAGAGCTGATGTTGGTATTAACTAATATCAGGACTCAGATGCCACTGTCCCTGGATTCTTTAGAGAAAGAGAAATGTCCTCTGTGAAACAGACTGTCACCTGGAACCGGACAGGGAATCAATTACCTCTCATCGGAATCGAGTCCATCCACAAAGAATTCTGATGCTAACTTCTCCTGGAGGAACCGATCCCAGCATTCCTTCTTGGCCTGGGCCAGGGTTCGAAGCATGTCCTTAGAGGTCACTTCCTGATTTAAACCTTTGATTCTTCTCAGTTTCTTTTCTAAAGAGAGAAGAAGTGGAATTTAACAAGGAAAGTGAGTAGGCAACAAACTTAAAATCTACAATGCAAAATGCCAACTTGAGATTTTCTCATCGATGAGTACATTCAGTTCCTCTGCAAAAGAGCTCATTTTTTAAGGAGGACATACATAGGGGAACAAACATTTTCCTTTTTTCTTCACACTGTCCTTACCCTGGATTTTATCAAATAAATGTTTAACCCCAGAAAAGGAAAAAGCCATAGGTTCTCATAAACAACCGATGGCATGTTTTCTTTGAAATCACAGAAGCCCGGCAGGTAGCTCTCTAAGGAATGCCTGTTTTCTCAGGCTGGACATGTGTATACTCTCATCTTCTCCCAGCTCCTTGGTCTCTCTGAGGAGCAAATGGTTTTTCTTTTTGTTACGGTGACATGAAGTGGTTTCCAACCCCCAAGAGAAAGAATTAGAGAAAATGATGACAGATCCAACGGTTCATCAGACACTAAACTTGACTTGATGAGAACTCAATAATAACAGACCTTTAAGATCTCTATGTGTGATTAGATTCTTGATTAAACAAAAAAGAATCTCCTAACATTTTTTTAAGTTGCTCAACTTCTGGCCTGGGTGATGGAGCCTAATGTCTCGCAATCCCTTTGAGAGTGGTCCATATGGCTTCGTGATGATAGACGTTTAATTATTCTTCTTTGCATTTTAAGTATAATTAGTGACGAGGTTTCCCCTTTTGAAGACTACAAGAAAGAGTTTCACCATCTACCTTAACTTCGTCTTGCCCTCAACTATAATACACGAGTAAATGATGGCTTTTTAGGGGGGTGGGGTGAGGAGGCTGGACATCAAAGCCCAGAACGAATAGAAACTATGATCTGCAATCCTGTTTTCATTTCTAAACAAGCCACACGAGCTAGCACCCAGTGATCAGAGCAATAAACACCTTCGGTTGCTGTAAGTCACCACCAGGAGCTCACCCATATAAAAAACCTACCGTTGTTAAGTATGTCAGGAGTTTGATTTTCTCCTGGAGGATACGAAAAGGGTTGTACAGGTCTCCTGTTGAATTGGCTAAGTTCTTAGCTGTTGCCCTTACCAGTGCATTCTCTTGGAAATAGGCTTATTTGGCAATAAAAACAATCTTCATGTTGTCTGGCCTTGGTTGTCAAGGTAGAAGGTGCCCTGGGCTGGAAAACGCCTTGCTCTCTCTGAGTGTACTGAGTCCGTGATCAGATTTGACCTAAGTCGGGCAGGCAGAAACAGGAGCCATTCCATATTCCCAATTCACCTGCCATTGTCTCCCAGTCTCTGCCACAGGCAACAGAAAGGAACTTGTAATTATTGTAACTGATTATAGAAAGGAGCAGTGGAGTTTTAACTTTCAGAACTAGTCTTCACTAGTCAAAATCACCATCTTCATGAAAGTGTCTTATGACCCCTGAGCAAATGGCACCAACAAGCCAAAGGATCTGGTTCTTTAGCTTTCTTGGACTATCGCTTTTTCTCCTTATCATCATTAAACAGATGCTCTGGCTACCACAGAACAGAATTTTCCACCAATGGCCATAGCTGCAAGCATTACTCTTATATCCTATCTTTGGTGGCTACACATTACACCCTCACGTTTTGCGTTATCCATCATTCCACCTGTATTTTTCTCATCTCTTTTTTCTCCAGTACATCATTAACAAAATTCCGTTGTTTGCCAGGATATTCTTAACAATCATGTCGGCTCTCTTCTGACTCTTCTTTCTGTCCTTCCTCAAAAGCTCCTTCTTCTTGAATTGCCTTTCCTTCTGCAAATAATTATTCCCAGGTTTGGTTTTGTGACATTCCCTGGGCCACATGGATAGGTCTCATGGATATTCAACAATAAAAGGATATCACAATTCCAAAAACTGGCCATCACTGCCCTAGACTGACATTTCTCTTTCCTCTAGCATGGGACAATCTAAATCTCTTTCCTGTGTTTGGAGCCGCTCCAGATTCTTAAACTTAAGGCCACGGGACACAGGACAGATGTGTTCACGGAATAATAAGTAAATAAAATGGCAAATGGGAGGCAGAATGAATTTTATTTTAACATGCTCCCAATTCAAACAATCAATCTATTTAATATGACAGTTTTTCAAACTGTAGCATCAGAAAACCACTGTAGCTCTGAGGCCATGACCTTCTCTTTTAGGATGGCATAAGGTTTGACACTTTTGAGTTATTTAAATAAATGAGTGATCAGTAGTTGGCAACAGTTCTATAGAACACCAAGAAAGAAAGCAGAATTTAGACAAAACAGTCAGAGGCAGGAGGTGACAGGCTGTTTTAAGGGATGTGGAAAGAAAGGGTAGCTCCTTCTCAACAATCTAACTTGGAACACCCCCTAAAATTACATCTGAGAAAAATACGTGGCAAGGACAAAAAAATAGAAAACCAAGTTTGATGTAACAGAATGTCAACATGCTTCCCTAAAACCACCAGCTTCTGATTTTAAAAAAATAAGAAAAAGCCATCTAACTTTACCTAAAAAAACCCATTGCTGTGGAGTGTATTCCGACTCATGGCAACCCTATAGGACAGAGTATACTGTCTTTGCAGAGGCACAACTGTACATCTTTCTCCCGTGATCTAACTTACCTAGAGATGCTAAATACACTTCTGAATCCTGCAAAGGGGCCCAGGGCTGTAGAGATGGCTGGACAGCCAAGTCAGCTGCCTCCTGCTGGCCTTCACCTGCAGGATACGAATCCACAAAGGAGTCTGAGAAAGCATTGTTGGCACCATCGTCTTGGTCAGGATTTGGCAGACAGGAACAGATTTCAGCCCAGAGGTCCCGGCCAGATCTTGTGGCTGTAGAGTCAAAGCTCTCAAACATTTTCATTTGGAACCTGAGTTGAAACACAGAAGCTCGAGTGAGTAAAGACTAGCTTTAAGGATACAGCCTAAGAGTGTGATACTCAGAAAATCTGTTTAATCATTGAAGGAAGGTGCTGTAATGGCCTTTTAAGAAGTTTCTTTTAACACAATGGATTCGTATGTAACAGGTAAAAACATGACAACAGGGGAACTTGGTTCCCCTTCTGGCTCTGGAATCACGTTGTTTTCATAAGGAAGTTTGTTTTAAAAAATGGAATTTCTAGGACATTTCCAGCATGGACAACCAGTCTGCACTTGTCTCCAAAGATTTCCAAAATGCAACCGCCTTGTTCTCAGCCCATTAAATTCTGTTTTCAGTACGGTAGACTAAAGGTCTTGCACATGAGGATAGTACAGTGCTGCCAGGTGACAAGTGCATCAGAGAGGATTTTCGTAAGACAAGAGCCCATGTTCTCATTACATACAGAAACTAGGCTATATGCCCTATGCTCTTGTTTTAATAGAAACACTGAAAATAGGCATTTTCACCATTTACAGATGAAGAAACTGAGGATCGGAGGGGTAACCTGCCCAAGGGCACAATACTTATACATAATGAATCCTTGATTGGAAACCAGACCTGTGCTACTTCCAAATCCATGTTTTTACCCAACACCATGCTGCCTGCTTGGGAAATTATACCGAAAGCGGCCCAAGCAGCTATGCACACAGTCTGGGGGCTTTTTATAACTATTTAGGCTTATAAGATGGGTTGACACCTTTCGGGAGGGATCTTTAGGATCAGGAAGGCTGCCTGAGGTAATGTCTGAATAATTCCAGGAGAGTTCAGCCAGCTGCAAGGGCCCGGAAGTAAAAGGCACAGATATGTCACCGCGGCCCGGGTGAACTGATGCCAGGGGCCAGAACGAGCTCCCACCCTCTCCCCTTGAAGTCATTTGAACCCATCCAAATCACAAATCCCCAGGGCGTCCAGAACCGCGCAGAGAACCCGTGCGTCCTGATGCCGGGCCTCAGTCACTCTGGCCTCAATCAAGGTCTGGACAGGCGGTATGAGTCAGGCCCCGAGGCTTCCCTGTGGGCCAGGCCGTAGCAGGGGATACAAGACGCTGGGTACCTGGGCCCCTCCTCACCTACCCTAAGCGGCAGCCAGCAGCCCGCAAACGCTCAACTCAGCTCCTTAGCTTGCAGCAGGGAGGAAACGGGGAGGGGCGGAGTCTCCGAGTGACGCATCCCGAGAGCCCCCCAATCACCGACCGAATCGGCGATGTTCTGTACGTCGATTGGCCGAAAGGAACTCAGCTGGGTGAGGAAGCGAAGAGCCGAGAGCAGAGAAACGGTGGGCGGGGCTGTTGTTGCCGCGAAACGGTGTAGTCACGTGGCTGCAGTCCCTTCTCTCGCTAAAGCTGGGCTGTTACCACGTACATTGATGGGTCCGTGTGCACGAGTAGCGCGCCCACAACCCTCTCTGCTTGAGTAAGCAAACCTGGACATTTTTTTGGTCCCATGAACTTCAGTTTATCCGCTCGGCAATTCTCTGGGCAGCTGTTTGTCCCGAAAATTTCACCCCTTCGCTACCCAAGTTATGCCAGCCCCTTAGATGGGGAAGGAAACTACTTCTGTTTCTACTCTCACAGGAGATCAATGTCCCATTCACGGAGTTATGAAACTTTCCCTCAGTCATTGGTCAGCACAAGGAGCCCTGGTGGCACAATGGTTAAGCGGTTGGCTGCTAACGGAAAGGTTGGTATTTGAACACACCCAGTGGCTCTGCCGGAGAAAGACCTGGTGATCTGCTCCTGTAAAGATCACAGCCTAGAAAACCCTGTGGGACAGTTCTACTCTGTTACGTGGCACCTAACAGCAGCAACATCATTGGTCAACAGAGAGCAAGCTCCTGTTGTGTTCTAGGCATTGTGTTAAGCGTTAAGTGGGAATTCAAGACAGATAGACTTGGTATTGATTTAGGAGATAATACTGGAGCCCTAACTCCCTGTCCTTGAGCACAGAGACTGCAACCCAGCTGGCGCTGGACTCAAGGACTCGCAAGGACACATCAGCTGGGCCCTGAGGTATAAAGACGATAGCTAGCACAATGTTGGAAAACATCTTTTGGAGAACTTTTCACATAAACAAATCATAAACTGAACACAAAAGACCCACATACTTTCCACTCTTATCTTTTTTTATTAACCTTTAGTGAATAGTAAGATTTGTTGGACCAGTGAAGACCCACCCTCCTGACTGTCCTTACTGAAACCTGTACCAATGATTGTTAAGAAAAGCAATTCAAAATGTAGGATCACAGTGTCTAGTCAATCTGTGAAAAGGTGAAGCTTTCAATGGTTTTGCCCATTTGTAATGTTAATATATGCTGATGATTCTGTAATATTCCTTGGACTCGGGCAGACATGGCTGTGGCAGCATGCTTGTCCATTTTCCCACTTTGTCTATTCTGTAACATTACTTATACTTGGGCAGACATGCTTGTCCATTTCCAACTTTTGCCTCTTTGAATATATGCTGAATAAAACCTTTCTTTTTCCTTTACTAACCTCTGTGATGTTTTTCCCCTACAACAGTGTTGACTACGCAGAGACATTCGATTGTGTAGATTATAACAAAATATGGATAACAATGTGAATAATGGGAATTCCAGAACATTAATTGTGCTCATGCAGAATGCATACATAGAACAAGAGGCAGTCATTCCACCAGAACAAGGGGATACTGGTTGGTTTAAAATCAGAAAAGGTGTGTATCAGGGTTGTATCCTTTCACTATACTTATTCAATCTGTACTCTTAGCAAATAATCCAAGAAGCTAGACTATATCAGAAGAACACACATCAGGATTGGAAGAAGACTCATTAACAACCTGCAATATGCAGATGACACAACCTTGCTTGCTGAAAGGGAAGAACTTACTGATGAAGATCAAAGACTACAGCTTTCAGTATGGATTGCACATCAACATAAAGAAAAATCCTCACAACTGGACAAATAAGCAACATCATGATAAATGGAGAAAATATTGGAGTTTCATGCTTTTTTTACTTGGATTGAAAATCAGTGCCCATGGAAGCGGCAGTTAAGAAATCAAACGATGTATTGCATTGGGCACTGCTGCAAAAGACCTCTTTAAAATCTTAAAAAGCAAATATGTCACTTTGATGACTAAGGTGCGCCTGACCCAAGCCATGGTCTTTTCAATGGCTGCATATGCATGTGAAAGCTGGACAATGAGTAAGGAAGACCAAAGAAGAATTGACACATTTGAATGATGGTGTTGGCGAAGAATATTGGATATACTATGGACTGCCAGAAGAACAAACAAATCTGTCTTGGAGGAAATACAGCCAGAATGCTCCTTAGAAGCAAGGATAGCAAGATTTTGTCTTCCTTACTTTGAACACATTGTCAGGAGGGACAATCCCTGGAGAAGGATGCCATGGTTGGTAAAGTAGAGGGTCAGCAAAAAAGAGGAAGACCCTCAACAAGATGGATTGCCACAGTGGCTGCAACAGTGGGCTCAAACATACCTACTATTGTGAAGATGGCCAGTACTGGGCAATGTTTCGTTCTGTTATATGTAGGGTCTACATGAGTAGGAGATGACTTGAGGACACCTAACAAGACTGAGAACACCTAACAAGAGCAGCAACAACATGGGTCCCAGAGAGCCTTACCGCCTGGGGAGGGATGTGCCATGGAGGCAGACAAGTTTACAAATAACAGCAAAGAGTTATGGAGGATATGACGGAATTGTGGGCAGATTACATAAGGAGAGAATGGTCATAGGAGGTGTGTGTCAGAAAGGCTTTTTAAAAGGAGATGACCTTTGATATCCCTCAGGAGATATCAGCACTTTCACTGAGATGCAACCACTCCCCCTTGCTCCCAACTTCCAAGGCAGGTTACCCTCTGCCAAAGAGATATATGATGAAGGACATCAGCCAACCTTCAGGAGAAGTAACTTGACAGATGATATAGTCTCTAGATATGCCTAAATCCAGTCAGTGTGGCTATGGTGTTAACAACTGATGTGAAAGGCATATTTGGAGTGACTCAGTTGCTTAGTTTTATAAGCATTCTTAGAGAGGCTATGCAAATAGAAGGTTATGGAAAGCAAGGAGGTTAGAAAACAAAGGGCCAAATAATAGGCAAGATTTTAGCAGTGCTTACTCATAGAGAGAAGCCCTGGTGGCGTAGTGGTTAAGCATTTGGCTGCAAACCGAAAGGCCGGCAGTTCAAATCCACCAATTGCTCCTTAGAAACTCTATGAGGCAGTTCTACTCTGTCCTATAGGGTCGAATCAACAGCTTTTTAAAAAAAACTCATAGAAAGACGTGAATCTGGTGGCATCTGGTTCATAGAAAGGGACACTGGTGTAGGTTATGGGTGCTTAATCAAGCTACTGTCTGGCCTCATGACTCACTTATGGTCTTTTCTCTGATTTCACTCCCACCAAACTCCTGATTTCAAATTTGGTCTTCATACCAGGATGAGGTTACCTTTGACTATGGGCACAAATAGCCCAGTCACTGGAAAACTACATTTATAATTTAAACTTACACTTGTAAATTAACAAATTGACACCCTTACTGACTTGCCCATGTCCTGAGTTTGATTAGTATGTGTGCCGAAGAAATTCAACCCAGATCCTGGACTTGCAAAACTGAGAACAAGATCCTAAGCCATGGTAATCTCCCTCTGCCCAAGGACTTCTCACATGAGGAGGCCATGTGAGGGCAGCCAGCAGCCCTTTATCTTGGACACTCCTTTAACTACAGTGTGATTAACACTAATATATATATGCCATTAACATGACTATATATATAACAATATATCTACCTATATCCATATATCTATCTATCTACCTGTCTATCTGTCTTAGCCATCTAGTGCTGCTATAGCAGAAATAGCACAAGTCGGTGGCTTTAACAAAGAGAAATTGATTTTCTCACAGTCTAGTAGGCTAGAAGTCCACATTCAGGGCATCAGCTCCAGGGGAAGGCTTTCTCTCTCTGTCGGCTCTAGAGGAAGGTCCTTCTTGTCAATCTTCTCCTGGACTAGGAGCTTCTCCACGCAGGAACCCCAAGTCCGAAGGACACGCTCTGCTCGCAGTGCTTCTTTCTTGGTGGTATGAGGTCCTCTCTGCTAGCTTCCGTTTCCTTTTTATCTCTTGAGAGATAAAAGATGGTGAAGGCCACACCCCAGGGAAACTCCCTTTATATTGGATCAGGGATGTGACCCGGGTAAGGGTGTTACAATCCCACTCTAATCCTCTTTAATGCAAAATTACAAAATTACAGGGACACAATTCAATTCATGACACTATCTATCTATCTGTCTGTCTGTCTATCTATCTATAACCTCAACCAGTGTAGTCCTTCATTGAGATTATGACTTTCTGGCCTCTGTATTTCCAGAGCCAAGCAATGCCTGGTAATGTTCAAAAAATGTTTGGTGTGTGAATGTGTGAACTCATAGCCAGGGACCACGCTGAACTGGAGCTAGACCTCATGATTCCTCCATTAGTCCCTTCTCCATGTTGTAATCAGGGTGATCCTTTTGGAATGGAGATCTGATCATATCACATACACACAGGCACAACTCTTTCCCATTGCTCTTAGAAGATTTAAATTCTTTTTATAGTAAATCAATCAGAGTTCTTAGTTCAAACAACCTAACTCGTTCTAGCTCTGAATCCCAGACTCGTATATTCAACTGCCTATACAACATCTCCACTTGGTTACCTAATATACATTTTGAACTTACTGTGTTCAAAACCCATCTCCTGATCTTATGTCCCAAACCTGTTCCATTCACAGTCAGCCCCATTTCAGTTAATAGACACTCCATTGTTCTAATTGCTCAGGCCCAAAACACTGGAGTCAGCCTCCACTGCTTTCCTTCTTACTTTCCTCGTGTCATGTACCTGTTCTCAGAGGCCTTGGCTTCCCTTGATTTGGACCTTTTTCTGAGGTTATTCTCCAGTCTTCTTATGAATTCTGTGGGCACTAATATCCCGTCAATAATTCTCTCTCTGATGAAGTTAACCAGAGTTGGTTTCAGCCTTTTTCATTTAAGATCCCTGACAAGCACAGCTTCTGATCCACTTGCAGTTTTCATCTTAGGATTGGAACACATGAGAGGTAAATGGGAGATATCGAATTCTTCTCATGCTGTCAGGAGGAAGCATATATGTGAAAATATTGCTTCTGGTGATGGTGTTTTTTAAAATATATCACAGCTTTATTGAGATATAATTTACGTATCATAATAGTTACCCTTTTAAAGTGTACAGGTCAGTGTTTTTCAGTACATTCAACCCTCATTCAGGAGGTTCTTACCACCACCACCCCCCGCCCCGCTTTTAAATAAAGTTCCTTTCAAGAGTTTCTCCAGACCCAAAGGACTTTGAGCATACCCTACATAGGATCTACAGGATCAACTCCTGCCATGGTTTTTACAGAGCTATCCCAAGGTTTCCTTTATGAAACAACGTCTGATTTGACATAAGTAGATCTCAACATACTAATTCTTTGGTAGGAGAGCATTTGCTTAAGGTTGTCCGAAGAGGAAAGGATGGACTTTTGGTAGAGTCATCTTTACAGCCTCTCAACTCGCCACTCAACACAACTCACTCACTTAGCCACAGTTCACGGCTCGGCACTGAGCCTCACTGATTGGCTGGCGCCAAGTGACGTCCTCAGATCGCGACCCAGGAGTGGCAGCCGAGCAGGTTATGAGGCTGGGTGGCTGCCAGTGGCTCCCTTTTCTTGGGCAGTGGTGCTTCGCGCTTTGGCGCTGCAGGTTGACTAGAACGCGGGGTCGTTTTAAGGGCCCAATGGCGGAAACACTCCCGATTGGGGCCGAAGTAGTGGGAGGGCTGAAGGCTCCAGCTGAGCAGAACGGAGACGCGGGGAGCCGGGAGCCGTCGGGCCCTGGAGTAGAGCTGGCCCCGGGGAGCGGGGAGCATGCCGTGGCTGTAACCCCAGGCCCAGGCAAGCGAAAAAAGCGGCGAGGCGCGACTGGGGAGCGTATCGTGCCGCCCCCGAAGAAACGGCGGGCTGGGGTGAGCTTCGGCGACGAGCACTTTGCAGAGACCAGCTATTACTTCGAGCGTGGCCTGCGCAAGGTGCGCCCCTATTACTTCGACTTCCAGACCTACTGTAAAGGCCGCTGGGTGGGCCACAGCTTGCTGCACGTCTTCAGCACCGAGTTCCGAGCCCAGCCCCTGGCCTACTATGAGGCCGCGGTCCGTGCCGGGCGCCTGCACCTCAACGAGGAGCGGGTCCAGGACCTCAGCATCGTGCTCAAGGTGGAGTCCTGATCAGGGGTGGCAGGGAGCGGAGGAGAAAAGGGGATATGGTTTTTTCAGAGTTATCAGGACATAGGTACTGGGGTAAAACCGTGGGAATTCTGAAGCAGCCTCGCTTACACTTGAACACTTTAAGCAAATAGCCTCTCTGTGCTTCAAAACCCAGCGCATTTACCCCTGCCATCAAAGTGGCTTCCTTGTTTCCAAGGGCGAGCAGTCAGTTTTCCTCGTTGGAATTCTCGTAGCTCCTTTTATGCACTGCCTTGCAGCTCTGGCACTGATCACTTTCTACCTTGCGTTGTAGCTCTTTAGTACAAATAGTAATAACAGCGGCTGTCACTTTTGTCTCCTTACAGAGAGTTAAGCATTTTATGTAGGTTGAACTTTAATTCATTTCATTTTAATGACAACCTTGTGGGGGTAGATATTGCCACCCCATTTTACCTGGGAAGAAACAGGCTCAAAGAGGTAATGTCACCCCCAAAGCCTGTATTCTTATAAGTAGAACTTAAACTATTTACCGTAGAGCCTGATATGCAATGGAATTGTGCGATGTCAGAGATAAAGACTAGAATTGTCAAGTCCAGTGTTTTGTTGTCGTTCCCCCCACCCCCCCGCCTTTTTAAATTCCATCACAGCTAAGAGGTACCAGACACTCTTGTCAGTAACACTGGCTCACCACGGATGTGAGGAGAAACAAGAAGATTCCAGAATTTGAGGAATGGGTGGTTTGAATCCCCTCTTCCACCCCAATTTTGAAAATATAGATCTGGTCTAACCCTCACATTTTACAGATAAAGCAATGGAGACCTAAGAGATTTGTCTAACAGTGTGCAGTGAGCTTGTGGCAAATCCAGGTCTAGAGCCCAGATCTGTGGACTTACAGCTCTGTGTTCTTTGTTCAAGGTCACAACGAGTGAAGATTTACGAAGTTTTTTTCCTCCATTTTTTTAATTGACTTTTAAAATAAAATTTTACTGTAGAGAAAATAAAAATACCCACCCCACTGCCGTCGAGTCTGTTCCAACTCATAGCGACCTTATAGGACAGAGTAGAGCTGCCCCCACAGGGTTGCCAATGTTGTAAATCTCGATGAAAGCAGACTGCCACGTCTTTCTCCTGCAGAGCAGCTGGTAGGTTCAAACCACCAGCCTTTCAGTTAGCTGATGAATGCTTAACCGCTGCACCACCAGGGCCCCTTAAAATAAAAATAAGCAAACCCAAAAAACATTCATAATCCCACCACCCAGAGATATCACCATTAACATTTTTGTGTACCATATTTTTGGCGAATAACATGCCGATGTAAATAACACACGCACATGCATGGCTTGCATACGGCCTAGGAAAATAATGCATGAGGGAGTTAGGCGGTTGGCACAAAATTTATAATGTGTGTGTTATTTGCGTAAAAATATGGTATACCTTAGAACTTTTTCAGTGCCTGCTATCTGCCTGTGTGTTTGTCTGTGTTCTTACATACAAAGTGAGATCACACTACACACATGCTTTTTCTGCTTAAGGATGTACTGTGAACATTCTTCCGTGTCAATAAGTATACCTCTGTGTCATCATTTAGCTGCGTGGTGTTCCATTTACCTCTTGGCGGGTGTGTACTTTAACATTTGGGCCAGGAACAGGGGAAGCTGGGTGTGAGGCTGACTGAATCCAGGCTGTTGGCCCCCCGGGCCGACTGGCTGCCTTGTCTTTGGCAGGACAACGACTTCTTGCGGAACACGGTGCACAGGCATGAGCCACCAGTCACAGCAGAGCCTGTCCGCCTACTAGCTGAGAATGAAGACGTGGTAGTTGTGGACAAGCCTTCCTCCATTCCTGTCCACCCCTGTGGCCGCTTTCGACACAATACGGTCATCTTCATCCTTGGCAAAGAGCACCAACTCAAAGAGCTACACCCACTGCATCGGCTTGACCGCCTTACCTCGGGGGTGCTCATGTTCGCCAAGACAGCTGCTGTGTCTGAGAGAATTCACGAGCAGGTTCGGGACCGGCAGGTGAGCCAGGTTCTTCTACTATAGGCCACTTCCTGGCCCACAAATGCCCTGTGTCAAAGGACATCACTGAGTTCCAGATCGGAAATGGGTCTATATGTTAATCTGGCCAAACTTCCCACCTTCAGGAGGTCAACACCTAAAGTACCAAAGGCAGGTTAAGTGTGTCATGTTTCAAAAGCTCTTTAGAAATGATGTCCACTGCCTGTCTTGGTAGTTTGCAAAAAGTGAAAGTTCTAAAGCGCTGACAGCAGAGTTTTTACGATTGTGGGGCAAACCTGCTTAGTGAACAGACTCTGGGGGAGGTTGGAAGAGCTTAGGTAGAAGAGTTTAATAGTAGTGATTGGGGTCTGAAGCTCGTAATTCCGCATCTGGAGTGTAATACATTTATTGAGTGCTTACTGTATACCAGGCTTGGTGCCAGGGACGTTAGAGCCTAACGTACTGAAGCCCTATGAGGGAAATGCTTTTCTAAGCTCACACTTTCTAGATGAGTTAGTGGCGCTTGAAGAGGTTGCGTAATGTGCCCAGGACCACACGGCGGGCGTATGGTAGTGTCGGGCCTTGAATCCTCTTCTTTCTGACACCGGTGCATTCCTAATCACTCCGTGGAGAGCCTGGGCTTCAGGAGTCCAGGCTTTGTGCTGACTTTCTCCCCGTTCTTCCTGTGCAGTTGGAGAAGGAGTATGTGTGCCGGGTGGAGGGGGAGTTCCCCACCGAGGAAGTGACCTGCAAGGAGCCCATCCTCGTGGTGTCTTACAAGGTGGGGGTGTGCCGTGTGGATCCCCGGGGCAAGCCCTGTGAGACGGTGTTCCAGAGACTGAGCTACAACGGCCACTCCAGTGTGGTGCGGTGTAGGCCGCTCACAGGCCGCACCCACCAGATCCGAGTCCACCTCCAGTTCCTGGGCCACGCCATCCTCAACGACCCTATCTATAACTCAGTCGCCTGGGGCCCCTCCCGCGGCCGGGGCGGCCACATTCCCAAGACAGATGAGGAACTGCTACGGGACCTGGTAGCCGAACACCAGGCCAAACAGAGCCTGGATGTGCTGGATCTCTGTGAGGGCGACGTGCCCTCGGGACTCACGGGTCCTACAGACCCCTCCTCAGAGCTGGGCAAGGGCGGCCAGGAAGAGTTGGCTACAGCTGCTTGGAAGATGTACCGAGCACGTGAGGCAGCCCCTCAGGATCTGCACACACTGGCCTTGGCACCTGGGGATGGAGCTGAAGCAGATGTTGTAAATCAGGAGACAGACCCCCTCTGTGCAGAGTGCCGGTTGGTGCGGCAGGACCCTTTGCCCCAGGACCTCGTGATGTTCCTGCACGCCCTGCGCTATAAAGGGCCAGACTTTGAATACTTTTCACCCATGCCTGCCTGGGCACAGGATGACTGGCAAGAAGACTGAGAGCTGTGGCCAATGGAGGGGTTCCTTCTTGGGTTGGGGCAGAGATGGGGCATAGGGGTAAGGGCTGACTCCATAGGCTGGTACTCAGGGTCTCTGCAGGAGGGAGGTTGGGCCCTAAAGGCACCTGTTCATACTACCTCCTTTCTTCCAGCTAAAGTTTGGGGACTTGTGTGGTTTGTAAATACATTCCTTCTTTTTAACACCTCAAGTGTCTGGTTTTCTTACTGCTTGTTGCTTTTTTATTTAATTGAGGTAAAATTCGCATAGCATAAAATTAATCATTTTAAAGCATACAATTCGGTGGTATTTAGTACATTCACAGTGTTGTCCAACCACTGCCTCTGTCTAGTTCCAAAACATTGTCACCACCCATCAAGCTTTCACTCGCCATTCCCTTCCGCCTTGCCCTGGCAGCCACTAATCTGCTTTGTTTCCATGGATTTGCCTATTGTGGACACTTCATATAAATGGAATCATGCAATACGTGGCCTTTTGTGTCTGGCTTTCATTTAGCATAATGATTTTGAGGTTCATCCATGTTGTAGCATGTATCAGTCCTTAATTATGGCGGAATAATATTCCATTGTATGGATATACTAATTTGGTATATCCATTCATCAGTTGATGGACATTTGGGTTGTTACCACCTTTTGACTATTATGAACAGTACTGCTATGAACATTTGTGTACAAATTTTTGTTTGAATACTCGTTTTTAATTCTTTTAGGTATATACCTAGGAGTGGAATTGCTAGGTCACATGGTAATTCTATGTTTAAGCTTTCGCGGACTCGCCGGACTGTTAACGGTAGTGGCACTGTTGTACATTCCTAACAGCAGTATACAAGGGTTTCGATTGTTGCACATCCTCGCCAACACTTGTTATTTTCCATATTTTTTATTATAGTCATCCTAGTGGGAGCAAGGAAACCCTGGTGGCGTAGTGGTTAAGAGCTACGGCTGCTAACCAAAAGGTCGACAGTTCAAATCCACCAGGCGCTCCTTGGAAACCCTGTGGGGCAGTTCTGATCTGTCCTATAGGGTTGCTATGAGTCGGAATCGACTCGATGGCAATGGGTTAGTGGGAGTGAAGGAGCCCTGGTAGCACAATGGTCAAAAGCTCGGCTGCTAACTGAAAGATCAGTGATTCAAACCCACAGACTGCTCACAGGAGAAAAGACCTGGTGATCTGCTCCCATAAAGATTACAGCCTAAGAAACCCTATGAGGCAGTTCTACACTGTCCAATAGGGTCACTATGAGTCAGAATTGACTCCATGACAGCCAGCAACAGCAGTGGGAGTGAAGTGGTATCTCGTGGTTTTAATTTGAATTTTCTTAATGACTTACAATACTGAGCATCTTTTCATGTGCTTGGTGCCCACCTGTAAATCTTTGGAAAAATGTCTATTTAAGTCTCTTTGCCCATTTTTTAATTGGGTTGTTTGTCTTCTTTATATTTTCTGCCATTCTTTAGATTGTCTTTTCACTTGATTGATAGTGTCCTTTGATCCACAAAAGTTTTTAAAATTTTGTCCAATCTGCCACTCTCTCTTTATTAGTGCACTTGGTCCATTTGCATTCAGCATAATTATTGATAGGTGTGAGTTTAGTGCTGTCATTTTGATGTCTTTTTTTGTGTGTTGTTCACAGTTTCTTTGTTCCCCTTAATTGTCTGTGCTGAGTCCTTTTTCTTTATGTATTTTCTTTTCATCTTTTTCATTGTAGATTTTGTGTTTGCTGAGTCTTTATATTTTTCTAGTTTTTTATTTTGACTTGTAGGATGGTCAGTTTCCTTTGTGGTTACCTTAATATTTACCCCGATTTTTCTAAGTTTATACCAGTCTTTTATTTCTTTATATCGCCTTGACTTCCTCTCCATATGAAAAATCTATGTCTACACTTTTTAAGTCCCTCTTTTTTGTTTTAATGTTGTCATCTTTTACATATTGCCATCTGTTTCCCTATTTTCAGTGTTTTTGCTTTGATTTACTTTTCTGACTTCCCTATCTGGGTTGATATCTGGTTGCTCTGTCCTGTGTTCTAGTGTTGGGTTGTTATCTGATGTTACTGATTTTCTAACCAGAGGACTCCCTTTAGTATTTCTTATAATTTTGGTTTGGTTTTTGCAAATTCCCTAAACTTCTGTTTATCTGGAAATTCCCTAATTTCGCCATCATAGTTGAGAGACAGTTTTGCTGGATATATA